GTGGCTCCTGGCTGCTGGCCCTTGAGTGACACACACCTGGGCTGCCATGACCCTGCCCTCGCAGCGGCCTTTCTCTGCTTCCACTTTCCTGCCTGTTCGTCCTGGGCCTAGCTCTGGGGGCTGTCAGTTCCGAGCATGGAAAATATCCATAAGGACTGAGGACTCAGAGGGTCCACCACCTTCCTGGACCCGAGGAAGCCATGGCCCGGACAGCAGATCCAGATGCAACCACCAGCTACGGGAACGCTCCCGCACTCTTTGGAACAGAGCTGTGTCCCAGGAGTGAGAAGGGAGGGGGAAGACTGGCTAAGGAGAGCTGCCTGGGAGAACCCCCAGGGCTGGGCTGTGGCACCCCCAGAATCGTCCCAGCAGGGTCACCGGATGGCCTGGCCCATCTTCGGCACACAGCAGCTCAGGCACCCTGGGCTCGGGAACAGCCTGGGAGCCGGGACTGAGGTCGGGAGGTGGGCCAGGCAGCGGGAGCTGCTGCAGTCCTGGGGCCTCTTGAAGAGGAGAACCCCCTGGCGCTCTGAGAGGGGTGCCAGGACTCCTCCCTCGGTCGTGAGTGGGGCTGCGTCTCCCTCTCTGATGCCCCCAGGAGCCCAGAGCAGTGGCTGACCCAGGGCAGCAGCCGTCCCTCTTTTCGGCACGAACGTCCTTCAGGAACGGGAGAGCTGGAGAAGGAAGGGAAGGTCCTTCCCTCCACGCATTTTTTGGGGCAATCAGAGAGACAAAGAAGTAGTCTGTCTTCCTCTCATGGCCCCGAGGCCTGCGACTCAGAGCAGACAGCGTAGACGGCTCACTGGGCTCTTGTCTGCCATCGATTCCTGGCCGCTTTACAGCGTGGTGACATTTCGTACATAGTGAGCTGTCGCCAGGCTCGCCGAGGAGCAGCCCGGTGTCACCCGCTCAAGCAGTGTCAGTGGGAAAGGGACTTGGAGTAGGTCCAAGGCCGAGCTCCATTGTAAATGACACCCCGATGCAGCCCCGCCGCCTGTTCTTGGCTCGTGAGCAGGTGTGGACGGGGTGTCTGTCCTTTGGAAATGAATCATGTCTGAACACACCTGTGAGCAGCTCACTGGCTGTGTCCACTCCAGACTCCGAGGGCGAAGGCTGCGCCCACAGGGCTGCCTTTTCTCCTCCTCTGTCCTCTTTGAGAAAATGCTGATTGCAGCTGACCCACCAGGTAATGGACCTCCAAGCTGTAAACCTGTGTCTCCAGCCCTGGGCACTTCGTCATTGTGACAGCACCCTTAGGTGCCCGTGGCCACCGGGGGTGGGAGGGTCATGCTTCCCAGGGTGAGCCCAGGCTGCACAGTGGAGCTCCCCAAGACATCAGCGGGGCAGGCCTGTGTCCCCTGTGCCTGCTCTTGGTGCTCCTGCCCCATGCCCCTGGAGCATACTCAGGAAGGGACCAGAGCGTGGGTCTGTGTGTGCTTCTCCCAGGGATATTTGCATTGAAGCCTTAATTCAACCTGCACATGAAAGGCTTGGTCCCCGGGACAGTGCGTCAGGTGCAGTGGGCAGGTGGAGCCCCACCCTGGGGGTGCCACCCAGTGCAGCCACCTGCTGGCTGGGAGGTGAAGAGGGTGGGTAGAACCCTTTGGACTCGGCAGGTGAATGACAATGCTTTTGCAAGGCCTGTGTGCCATGCTGGGGCTTCTCGCCCCTGAGGCCATCTGGGGGGAGGGGGGGTCCTGTCTACTGCAGGGCATTTAGTAGCCATCCTGGCCTCGGCTCGCTCGATGCCAGTAGCACCCCCCCAAGCTGGTGGTGACGGTCAAAAGGATCTGTTGACATTGCCAAATGTCACGTGGGAGCACCCCCACACACACACTGAGGACCACTCAGTCACGCTAGTGGTTTGTCACACATGAACAGGCAGTGTCATGGGGGACTCGTGCAGCGTTACCCAGAAACCTAAGGCCCATAGCCTGGCCTCTTCTCACTCCCTAAGACCAGGTTTCCATGGGTCTTCAGTGGGGTGGGCAGGGGACATGGGGTGAGCCACAAACGGCAGACCCTGGCAGGTCTCACCCCCTTCCTCGAGAGCAAAGCTCAGTACCTTCAGTTTCCTTGGCCACAGTTTACTAGAAGCAACAGGGACTTCTTAAGGGTTTGTGGCCTTCAACTAGTTAAAAACCTCATAAATCATTGGAGGTACCCTGTCTGTGCTGGTCCCGGGGCGTCTCCGGGCTTCTCTCTGGTCGGGGAGCCGAGTTGGCATCGATCGCGTTCTCAGCAGGCCCTCCTTGCTGCTGATCCTGGTAAATCACGTCGGGGGGTGAGGCTTGGGGCTGTGTTTGTCGATCGGGACCCAGTTCAGCCCTCGGAGACCGCTCCGTGACCAACGTGGACACCGAGTCACAGCAGGGGATCTCTGCGTCTTCCTGGGCCTCTCCTTCCCGAAAACGGGCTGCTCACACTAACTACCTCCTCAGACATTCCGTGGGGATTGTGGCAGAACGGTCCTTAAAGAAAAGGAGCAGGTTTTCATCTCTTGAGTCTAGGCTAATGATTCACATTGATTGAATGGAACGTGCATTTCCAGAGTGTTCTCTGACCAGTCTTCCATCTGAGCCTCTTGTGACCAGGACAAGAATGACACAGCTGTTTGGCCTCAGGGAGGATAGACACTCGAGGCAGGTTTGGGGGGACGTTCCATTCTGTGTAACGGTTCCACTACGTGTGCGGAACAGGCTGCTTCTGGAATCTTGTGGTTCGCCCCACAGGCACCTGAGCGCGGAAGCCCCCTCGGGCCAGGGAAAGACTGCTTGCCACCTGCGTCCTGGGTCACCTCAGTTCTGGTATGAAGGCTCCCACAGCCCAGTGTTGTCCTTTGTTCCCAAGGGCCTGCGGCAGGAGTGCGGGAGGACCCAGCGTCCTGGCGCAGGTTGGGCGGGAAGGCAGAGGGCAGGCTGCTTGCATGGTGCTTCCAGCTGCTAACTGCTGCCATTTCACTGGCGCAAGCTGTCGGGGGCCGACCTTTACCTTGGACAATGGTGACTTCAGTCATGAGCTGGAGCTGAGACCTCCAAGACACCACTATCTTCTCAGGGGTGCGGCTGCCTGACCTAGGCCTGGTGGCTGGAGCCTGGGTCCCCAAGAAGTGGCCGGGGCCAAAAACAGGCTTTGGGTCTGGGAAGGTGGTGCTTAGCACTGTGGGCCAGTGGGTGTGGAAGGCCTCCCACCCCTCCCGCCCTGGACACTGGACGTGGGGGACCCCGACTTTCTCAGCACCCAGAGGAAGCGGGGAGCGTCAAGGGGAGTCGTTCATGCATGATACGGGGTTTCTGCCTTTGCACTAAGCTGTCGTGTTCGCATGAGAGGTGTTTGTTTGCCGTTGGCAGCGGGGTTTAACAAGAAAAAACGTGTGTCCTTGTTTCGGCTGTCCCCAGAACTCACGCATCTCTCCCCCACCCCCAGCCCTCCCGCACCCACTCCGGCGCTCCTGGTCGGTACCTAGAAGCAGCTCTTGGTCTGCTGCTGTTTCTGTCCCGCTGAAAACACGGGGTGGGGAGTGGTCAGGAAAGCAACGTTTTTCTAATTTTTGTATTGGTCTCCACGAGCGTTTGTATTTTTTGAATTGCAAACACTGTGTTTTCTGGTCTTTGGGGGTTGATTCAACTTTCTGTATTACCTTTTGGAAAACCTGAGTTTTACCACAGTCTTAAGCAGATTTGAAATAAATTCTTTTGACACTGCCAACAACTGATGGCAAGGCATGGTCTGTCGTCACCACTCAGCGGCAGTGTCTGCCTTCTTCCAGGCCGGCCCTGACTGTGGGGGGGAGGCCACCCTCTCTTGCCCACCGGCCAGGGTTGCCAGGCTGCAGGGCCATGGTTCTCCTTCGGATGCCCAGGGTGTCTTAAGGCAATTGCGTGTGACTTCGACTTGTAAGGCACCACCTCAACCAGCGGGGAGGTCCCGGGGTTCATTCTGCGACCGGTGACCAGGCTGGCGATAGGTCGGTCAGTGCGTGATTAGGGCCCACTCACAAAGGGAACGCCATGCCGATCATGGGTCCAGAGAACCTGGCACTTGGGGAAATATGCTAACTCTGAGCATCAGGGAGGCCGAGCGGCCCCTTTAACCACACACTGAAACCAGGCACGCCTGGCCTGAGCTCTGACCCCGGCAGCACCTACAACCAGTGGCCTACTGGGTTTCCGACCGGGCTGGGCTGATCGGGGCAGGTCAGGAATCCAGGGGTGCATTCCGTAGTGAGGGTGCCGGATATCTATCGGGGTTTTCATGGAACCCGCAGGAAGGACACAGGACTGAGCAGAGGGAGACCCTGAGCAACAAAGGCCTGGGAGGCTCAGCTCGGGCCGTCTGGGTTGGAAGGACAGGCTGTAACCCTGTCAGTGACTTGCTGACCAGGGCAGCCCGGGAAGGATTAACGGCCAAGGAAGTCGGTCCTTCGTCCAGTGGGAGCCCAGGGGGCCTCACGGCCTCCATCATGGCCCACCGTCTGCCTCTCAAAGGGTACGGGGAGGACTCTGGGACTCCGGCAAGCGTGGAAGACAAAGACTGCTAGGGCACAGCCTGCTCCCTGCGGCCCCCCTGCTGGCCTCCACCCTCAGCGAGTGCTCTGCGGCCTCGGCAGTGTGAGCCGGGCCCTCGTCCCTGGGTCGCCAGGCCCTCGTCCCTGGGTCGCCAGGCCCTCGTCCCTGGGTCGCCAGGCCCTTCTCAGCCCAGGGTTGCTCCACTTGTCTGGGTGCCATCAAAACGGGGCAAAGGCAGTGCCCAGAGGGTCCAGGTGATAGGGGAGGCAGGGGCACACCCCGCCCGTCATAGGGCCGCCCTGTTGATGGCATCATGGATGTCTTCTGTGACCCTGGTGTCGCGCTCTAGCAGCAGGTCTGCAGGGCCGAGTTGTAGGGACAGGAATCCCAGTTCTGTACACGGGTCCCTGGGCAGAACGTAGACAGGCTGTGAGTTTGTTTCATGGGGACACAGCTCCTTGTCAACCTCCTGGCATTCGAGGTGACCTGGAGGCAGCTCCTGGGCTTGTCATTGCTCCTGTCCTGCTGCACGCGCTGGGCTGGGCTGGGGACCGGAGGACTGTCCTGCTGCACACACACGGCTGGGCTGGGGGACTGGGGACTGTCCTGCTGCACACACAGGGCTGGGCTGGGGACCGGAGGACAGTCCTGCTGCATGCGCTGGGTTGGGCTGGGGGACCAGGGGACTGTCCTGCTGCATACACAGGGCTGGGCTGGGGGGCTGGGGACTGTCCTGCTGCACGCACAGGGCTGGGCTGGGGAACTGGGGGAGGGGTTGGAAAAGCAGCTGCCGCTGAGCCCCAGGGGTGGGGGATGCTGCCTCCCAAGCACCACCACAGAGCCAAGCCAGCACCTCGCAGGTCCTCCCCATATCCCGCCTCAGCCAGCAGTGCAGGATGGCGGGCCCAGGACAGCGCCTGCTCAGGCCTGAGGATGCGGCTGCAGAGCAGGTGAGCCGGTGGGTTGGTTAGCGCTCAAGGTCTGGCTCAGAGCTCCTTTCGGGAAGCCTGTCAGGCCCTCTTGGGTAAACCCGGCGCTGGCCTGTGTGGTCGTGTCAGTGACAGGCACGGCCACACACTGCAGAAGCTGTGCTTTATTTGCGTAACTTCCGACAAAGTGGGCTTTACACACAGTCGGCTGGATTAAAACTGCTTTTCCAAAACCTGATAAATCAGCACATTCTTAGATCTTTCATGATATAGTAGTATCAAGCCACTAAAGACACTGAAAGGCCAGTTGATGTCCATCACGAGCACTTACAGAACACTGCAGCCGTGAAGAGCGTTCAGGAGCAAGCGCACCCAACACCAGCGAGCAGAAGGTGCGCAGAGCCCGCCAGGACACTCGCACGCCTCTGCAGCTCGTGCCCTCTCGCTTACTCGGCACCGCGCACACACTTCAGCAACTAGAAAAGCTGTTTGACTTTTACCCCTAAAATGAAAAGCACCCTGTGACACCAACAAGAACAGTCCTGAGGTCCTGCAGGGCCCGAGGGCACGGTGGCTTGTCTCGTGGTCCTTATCTGATAAAGCAGGTCACTTAGCCACGCTGGAAGAATTGATCTTCTTAATGTCAACAGGGCTCAGAATCAACGTCCCATTTTTAAATTTCCCAACCTGTCCAATCCGTCCGCTTGACAAAATACTGGGAGCCGCCTTCCTCTTTTGGGGCTTCCTACATGGAAATGAGAAAAGACGCACAGTGAGGCGGAGAGAAGGGCTTGGTGCCCACCGGCCACCATGGTGTCCGTCCACGCAGACCCCCTGCCGTGCAGACCCCACCAGCCCTCCCATCTCAGGGCTGTGGCAATGTTCTGCTCCCAGGTCTTCCCAGCTGTCCCCTCCTTGGGGCTCAGTCCTCAACATGGATGTCGCCTCCTGAGGGTGCCTGTTTCACGTCTGAGCTCGGCCTCCTCATAGAACCTGCATCGTCCTCCATCGGCATTTCTGGGGTATCACCCTCAGGACAGCGTAAGCTCCTCGAGGGAGGGAGCCCTCCAGTGGGACCACGGCTGGGCACCAGCACCGACGGCACCCATGCCCCTGGCCAAAGGGGAGCACTCAACAGGCAGACACCTGCAGGCAGAAGACGGTCCCTGCGCAGCAAGTGCAAGTCCAGAAGGGGGCGCTGGCCTGTGTGGTCGTGTCAGTGACAGGCACGGCCACACACTGCAGAAGCTGTGCTTTATTTGCGTAACTTCCGACAAAGTGGGCTTTACACACAGTCGGCTGGATTAAAACTGCTTTTCCAAAACCTGATAAATCAGCACATTCTTAGATCTTTCATGATATAGTAGTATCAAGCCACTAAAGACACTGAAAGGCCAGTTGATGTCCATCACGAGCACTTACAGAACACTGCAGCCGTGAAGAGCGTTCAGGAGCAAGCGCACCCAACACCAGCGAGCAGAAGGTGCGCAGAGCCCGCCAGGACACTCGCACGCCTCTGCAGCTCGTGCCCTCTCGCTTACTCGGCACCGCGCACACACTTCAGCAACTAGAAAAGCTGTTTGACTTTTACCCCTAAAATGAAAAGCACCCTGTGACACCAACAAGAACAGTCCTGAGGTCCTGCAGGGCCCGAGGGCACGGTGGCTTGTCTCGTGGTCCTTATCTGATAAAGCAGGTCACTTAGCCACGCTGGAAGAATTGATCTTCTTAATGTCAACAGGGCTCAGAATCAACGTCCCATTTTTAAATTTCCCAACCTGTCCAATCCGTCCGCTTGACAAAATACTGGGAGCCGCCTTCCTCTTTTGGGGCTTCCTACATGGAAATGAGAAAAGACGCACAGTGAGGCGGAGAGAAGGGCTTGGTGCCCACCGGCCACCATGGTGTCCGTCCACGCAGACCCCCTGCCGTGCAGACCCCACCAGCCCTCCCATCTCAGGGCTGTGGCAATGTTCTGCTCCCAGGTCTTCCCAGCTGTCCCCTCCTTGGGGCTCAGTCCTCAACATGGATGTCGCCTCCTGAGGGTGCCTGTTTCACGTCTGAGCTCGGCCTCCTCATAGAACCTGCATCGTCCTCCATCGGCATTTCTGGGGTATCACCCTCAGGACAGCGTAAGCTCCTCGAGGGAGGGAGCCCTCCAGTGGGACCACGGCTGGGCACCAGCACCGACGGCACCCATGCCCCTGGCCAAAGGGGAGCACTCAACAGGCAGACACCTGCAGGCAGAAGACGGTCCCTGCGCAGCAAGTGCAAGTCCAGAAGGGCGAGCGCACCAGAAGGCGAAGGGGAAGAGGAGTCTGTCCTGGGTACTGGCAGATGGCTAATGGCTATGTCACTGGACTCCCACATAGTCGACCGTGGTTTGAGTCCTGGACCCGGTGGCTTAAAACTCACGCCGGACACGTGTGTGCGCCCAAAATCCCAAGAGGAGAATGAAGGGATTGAGGCGTGGTCATCCTCCCTGGGGGATGGTTTCTCGCTTTCAGTCTGTCTGGTGAGCACTCATGCCCTATGGTAAAAATCTCTCAAAAAAAAAAAAAAAAAAAA